ATGAAAAGTAACTGAACAAACCCCAGGGAACAAGGCAGTGAACAGTGTTCCTCCATGGTCCCTCTTTTCATCCCTCTCTCTAGATTCCTGCCTTGGTTTCCGTTGATAAAGAACTGTAAACTGTAAGATGAAATAAACCCTTTTATCTACAAGTTGGTTTTGGGGATGGTATTCATAACAGTGACAGAAAGCAAACTAGACACAAAATTTCCCTCACTTCATGCCAAGAAAGAGATGGAAAGAGAGCTTCAGAGGCCTACTCCATAGCTCAGACAGGCTTTGAATTTGAGATCTTCCTGCCTCATCCTCCTGCATGCTCGGATTATAGGCTTATACTACCAGGCCTGACTATTTTATTTAAGTGTGTGTGTGTGTGTGTGTGTGTGTGTGTGTGTGTTGAAGTATGCCTTTATTCATCACAGAATAAATAAATGCCTTTATCTGTAGGTAATCGGCCCAGATTGTATAGTCTCAGTGTTAAATACACAAACTATTAATCTACTGGAGTCAATAAAGTACATGCTCGTTCTAAGAATGAGACACATTTGGAAATGAGACATGATTCATTCACTTATTCTTGGCTAGCAGGCTGACCTTAGGATCACTGGAGAGTGGGATATCTGAGTTGTAAAATACACATTGGTTTCATGGGACTTTTATTGCTATTGGACAAACCAAGAAACAAGAACACCAAGAAAGTTAGTTTCTGGGCCTCAGTCCCAAGCACCAGACTAAGTGTAATGATGTGTTGATCCACAACACTTTGAGAGATCATATCTGACAAAATTTAATCATCCCCATTACTTGACAGTTCTGTCTAAATATTGTCAAAACAATGGGTTGATTTGGATAACTTAATCAATTGGTCATTTTGGGTACTGTAGTCAAGCTAATCACTTTAGTTCTCTTGTAAATGGATTATGGAAAATGTCAACTCAGCTAATGTAAGCAAAGAAGATAGACAGTTTTAATTAATTAGTTTACTTTGCTCCCAGTATAATTATATAGCATCTGAAATGTCATTTGATGGGAGTAGGGTCCCTTCTGAGAGACCCTGATTGGAATCTAATGCTTGGGCCTGCAGGTGCCTTCAAGGGAAAGATAAATAGAGCTTTCCCTTCTGATTTTGACACCAGATTTAGCTGGAAGCATTGGTCTCAGGGACACATTAAGTCAGTCATTCATTCATCTTGACATGTAGACTCCACTTTGCTAAGTGCTTTAATAGCCCTTCAGTCAACCCTTGTGTTCAGCCTGGGCAGATAGTTAACTCAGAACAAATAATAGCTCACGTTGGTCAGTTTACTCCTATTTTTAGGCTGCTTTTTCCAAATGGTCAGTTTAACCGCTAGCTCTGGATAGAGGCTCTTCTGTCTCATTCTAAAAAAAAAAATCCCTATTCTTTTTGTATTGGAAACCAAATAAAGACCCAAAGATTATGCATGAGGAAGGACTCCCTGCTTATATGCAGTTAACTCCTTGCCTCCAGGGATCCCCAGGTCTGGAAAAGGGGCAGTTAGAGGAGAGCTTGCCTGTGGTTATATGAGTTGAATGAAGCATGCTGGGAAGTGTGCTTCTGGGTGCCCATGTATGAGTGAGAGTGCATGTGAAATTTGGGAGTAGGAGGGCTATTGGTCTGAATAGGAACTCAGAGATGACTGGGATAGGGGAGATATCTCTGAAAAACAACACATCTCTAATGCTAACCTCTTCGACAGTGCAACTTTCCATTTGTATTTTCATTTTCTCTTTGGAAGTATGCTCTGTGTGGGGAGGAGGGTAAAAAGAGGAAACTAATTTTTTTCTCATGTACTTTGTATCCTTCATCATTAGAGGACAATAACTCTCAAAAATACACACAAACATGCACACACACACACACACACACACACACACACACACACACACACATTATGGTCCTGGGGCAAGAGGCATGGCTTAACAGTTAAGAGCACTTGTTGCTCCTGCAGAAAATCAAGGTTTGATTCCCATTAATCACGTGACCACTCATAGGCATCTGTAATTCTCGTTCTATGGGATCTGATGCCCTCTTCTGACTTCTGTAGGCACTGCAGGCACATGGTATACTCACATACATGAAAGCAAAACACTCACACACATAAAGTAAAAAATAATTAAAAAAAAAAGATCTTAAGACAAAAACCCCAAGTCCTTTAAAAAAAATTACTTTTAAGTAAATCTTTTAGGAACGAACAGGTTCTCAGAAAAAAAAATAATGTTATTTACTATTGTTAAATCTGTCTTAAGAGTTGCATAATTTATTCAAATGACCCAAAGCTTTTAAACTCAATCTTCAAGTGAAAAAAAAAATTATCCAGTCCCCGGGAGAGTGGCATTTTTTTCTTATGCTGTATTGCTTCCCATGACCGACATTTATTTGACTCTCAAGTGTATTTGCATTGTTGGCTTAACTGGGAGTTCATTGCTGAATCTATAATATGCTGTACTTTTGTTTTCTTTTTTTGCTTTGAGTGGTGTCAATATTATTGCTATTCCTTTTTTTCTTTCCCTCTTAATTCCTTGCAATTACACCATTTTCTTTGACTTGTGAAAATTTATCCTCTAAAATTATTAAAAAACAAAGTAAAGGTGTTTTGAATCTTCTGGGATGTACATGACTCTTTAAAGTTCTGCATGACAGAACTTACTATAAGGAAGAATGAAAGCACTAGACAAGGTCCTCTGCTTCTAGGGAGTGTTCAAGGTTAGGTCTCCTGGAGGCCAGCCTGCAAGTTTTTGTCTCTCTCTAAAGTATATAGCTAACTGCCTGATCATTTCTTTGCAAGGGGGCACACGGGGGGTGAGGCTTGAACTAGAACAGGGTGGGAATATGACCCACTGTGACCACTCAGAGGTTCTGGCCTGGAAAATTCCCTGTACGTTCCAAAAACAAACATTTGAAATGAAGGCAGAAACCAGGCTTAAACAAAGAATGAAACTCATTCTCCTTTCAACTCTCCTGCCGATAAACATATGTGCCCAGTCTTTTGTTTCCAAGACATCAGGTTTCCATTATTTGAACAGAGCTTCTACCTGAATCTGTGCAGAGCATAAGACAGACATATTTTGAGATTTAACAAATTGGTGTGTGTGTGTGTGTGTGTGTGTGTGTGTGTGCATTTTGCTAATATCCAAACCCATTAAATAAAAAAAAATGCTACAATGATGCCCTCAAGCCTTTAGAGCTTATTGTATTTTTCAGGCTATGCTATGCAACCCTTATTGGTTCTATATGCTTATGTGTTGTAGGATTTACTTTATTACCAGCGTAGAAACAGAGGTCACAAGCTGTCTGCTACTTCTCATGACATGTGTAATGTTGTCTTTTGTTACCTATGATCACTTCTCTTTTCTTGTTCTACTGAACTTCATACCTTTGTGTTATCTTTCAAAGACAATGATATATTCCTTTTCTTATAACTTGAGAGGCAATAATGGTCACTACTGTACTACCAATGTACTATTGCCTGCTTCTTTGAAAACTAGGATCCACAAGATCATTGGAATCATACAGCTGTTTGTAGTGTTGTGGATTACCTGATTATCTGCAGTAACTATAGAAAATTGCCGAACCACACATTTCTCTTCCCTGGTCTCCATTTTGCTAATACACTGAAGAAGGACACTTACCCTTGCATAGCAATCCATCAAACTTTCTTCTTCTTTGTGCTTTTGTAATAACCTTTTAACTGTCAGCAATGAGCTTGTCTGCAAATGCTGCATGTACCTCCTTTGCTCAGCGAAAGGCGAGATGGAAGGAGCAGCTAGCTGTGTAGAGATTAAAAATCATGAGCTCTGACATGACTTTACTTTTGCCGAAATTCACGTGTTCTCATAATAGCCGTGGGACCTCAGAGAATTTATTTAAACTCTGTCACCCTGTGTTTCCTGATTTGTAAAGGGGCAACGATATTAATACTTTACAAGGGCATCTGGTATGTGTTGGGCATCACTTTAAGTACTCTAAATGTAATCCATTTAATCTTAGTAACTTTGTGATATGAATAATTAATATCATACCCATTTCTCAGACAAGCCAGCCGATACGTGAAGAAGGAAAGTAATGTGACTGCCTTCATAGAATTAAGATGTGGCAGAACTTGACAGATGAAGCCGAATGGTTGGACCTCAAAGGGTGTTTCTTATAGTGTGCTATGGTGCCTCTCTGTTGAACTATTGAGCACGAAGAACACAGCACAGCTTCAGGCACAAAGAAAGCATTTACTGTTAACTGGCATTATCCTTCTTTTGAACTGTACTCATTTTCTTACTCTTGCTGCTGCTGGATTGTGTGAAAATGATCATCCTTCCCCAAAGGGAAAGCAATCAGAATAGCAGCAACAGCAATCTACAATAACAGGTAATTTTTTTTTTACCTTGTTGCTATCTATTTGAGCTACAGTTGTGGCCGAGTCACATGAACAGAGGCACTAATTGTTAAAATCTTTTTATTGTCACAAGAAAAATTAACCTTTCTCCACCTTCCAACAGCAGGACAACCAAAGTGTTTCAAAGCAAGGTAAAAACTTAAAAGTTGTAGACTTCAACTAAAATTGCTACCATTTTTTAATAAACAGGGGTAAAAATTTCAAAATGTAAGGCTCTAAAAGATGTTTGTGAACAAAATTTGCTACTAGAGTAAACTCTTTAGTCTTCCTATTCCTTAACTTGTTTTAGAATGCCATGATCAAGAAAACAGAAAAAGAAAATTTTGCTAAAATTTATATTCTCCTCTTAAAGTAAGCCCCTGAGTTTAAAATTCTCTAACACATTTGTGGAAACTTCTTTTTTTTGTCTAAGATTTATTTGAATGAGCTGTTATGATTGGAGACATGAGAATTTCAGATTAATGTTTTGCAGCCAGAAAAAAAACCCTCTGGAAAGCTGGCAAGTGTTCGTAAGTCAGCCTCAGAATTATGTAGGTTGAAGGCTCCCCAGTGGACAGAGCGAATATATAAGAGGGAAACCAGAGGTCTGGTGCAGTTGCATCTCAGAGTCTAGGGATGGAGGGAGCACAGAACTAAAAGCTTTCTTCCGCCTGAATTTTTAAGGTAAGTCAGAACAATTTATACATGCTTGAGTTGGGAAGGAGAACATACAGCAATAAAAACTGCTTGTGTTCATGGACGAACGGTTTCTTTTTCCTGCATTTTAACACTGCATTTTGCAGAACGCTTTAATTCTTTAACTGCTGTTTCTCTTACAGGAGTGCGTGTGGGAGCTAAGTAAGCTGATTTATGATAACTGCTTTAAACACTGGAAACTAGTAAGTCTTTAGTGAGATTTATTTTTGATTCTTTCATGTTGATTTGGAAGATCATACAAAAGAATGGACGTTTGACAGAAATGACAGTTTGCTGTTTCTTAGGAAGTTCTCTGGTGGTTACATTCTAAATTGAGTATTTGCCTGTATGCATTTTGAAATTATCTGGTGTTATAGTTTTTCTCTTTGTGTGTTTATCTTTAGTTTTTTTTGTTTCAAAATAATATGGCTTTTGTAAAGAAAAAAAACACCCCCCACACACACACCTGAATACTGTCCTTAATGCTGGAAAGTAATGATTATCTAATTCTGTTAAACTGAAAAGAAAGCGAAGAAAAAATGATGAGACTATATCATAATTAGTCACTGATGTTAAATTCTGATTTATTTGAGCAACCAGTGCTATAACTGTTTTGTGGTTTTGTTTTCTTTGTCTTGTAGTTAAAGTGAAAATTAATTTGTTTCCTATGAGATAGATCAGATTTAAATATCCATATTGAAAACCAGTATTCACTATCAAAATTTTGAGGTAAAGGCTTTAGGAAACATACATATCCACGGTTTCTTCTTGGTATAGTGAAAACAAGGGGAATGTAAATAAACAGATAATTTTCCGCATGCAAAGACTAACCCTGACTCTCTAACCCAATACACTCTCTCCATATATTCTTTCAGTTCTTTGTACACTTCCTTTTTTATATAGCTTCTGTTATTCATATTTTCCATGGCTGTAACAATCAGTTTGTATTTAACAAGTTAAGCATTGCTCTGTAAAGCAGAGGGTAGCAGTGAGATTTCTAGAAAGTGAATGGAGAAATAAGCCTCTTTTTTTTTTTTGGAACTATCAAGTTGTCTTTGGGTTCCTCGTATTTGTCTCATAGAATCCCTACCTGACTAACTGTTAAGCTACTAATTTCTCTCTTATTGTTTCAAAGACATGAGAGGAGAGAAAGAAAAAGTTTTGCTGGGAATTTTCAGTCTAATACTACTGAGAAAATGTTGATTTTTTTTCCCTCAAGAGGTAATAGTTCTATTTTCAGGCATGGTGCTATTTTATAATGTTTGCTACACTTACCTTATTATGATCTTTAACAAATTTTCAAAATGTTTATGACTCAAATATTCCTTAGGTTTTGGATGTGCATTAAGCGCTCTACTTTTCTCCCCCAGAAAAGACGTGAGAACTAGGAGACGCTGACAATTCAATATGAAGGACAACTTCAGTTTTGCCGCTACCAGCAAAAACATCACCAGCAGCCTTTCTTTTGATAGTCTCAACATTTCTGGCACCAATGAGTCCACCTTTAACTGCTCGCACAAACCATCAGATAAGCATTTGGAAGCAATTCCTGTTCTCTACTACAGCATTTTTGTCATTGGGTTTGCTGTTAATATTGTTGTGGTCTCACTGTTTTGTTGTCAAAAGGGCCCTAAAAAGGTTTCCAGCATTTACATTTTCAATCTGGCTGTGGCTGATTTACTCCTTTTGGCCACCCTTCCTCTCTGGGCATCCTATTACTCTTACAGATATGACTGGCTCTTTGGACCTGTGATGTGCAAAGTGTTTGGTTCTTTTTTGACCCTGAACATGTTTGCCAGCATTTTTTTCATTACCTGCATGAGTGTTGATAGGTACCAATCGGTTATCTACCCCTTTCTGTCTCAAAGAAGGAATCCCTGGCAAGCATCTTATGTAGTGCCGCTTGTCTGGTGTATGGCCTGTCTGTCCTCATTGCCAACATTTTATTTCCGAGATGTCAGAACCATTGAATACTTAGGCGTGAATGCTTGTATTATGGCTTTCCCACCTGAGAAATATGCCCAGTGGTCTGCTGGGATTGCCTTAATGAAAAATATTCTTGGTTTTATTATTCCTTTAATATTCATAGCGACGTGTTACTTTGGAATCAGAAAACACCTGCTGAAGACCAATAGCTATGGGAAGAACAGAATAACCCGTGACCAAGTCTTGAAGATGGCAGCTGCTGTTGTGTTGGCGTTCATCATTTGCTGGCTTCCATTCCATGTTCTGACCTTCCTGGATGCTCTGGCCTGGATGGGTATCATTAATAGCTGTGAAGTCATAGCAGTCATTGACCTGGCACTTCCTTTTGCCATCCTCCTGGGATTCACCAACAGCTGTGTTAATCCCTTTCTGTATTGCTTTGTTGGAAACCGCTTCCAACAGAAGCTGCGCAGTGTGTTCAGGGTTCCGATTACTTGGCTCCAAGGCAAGAGAGAGACTATGTCGTGCAGAAAAAGTAGTTCTCTTAGAGAAATGGACACCTTTGTGTCTTAAATTTGTTCATGGGATGCATGTAACCAGCTTAGCTATTGGTTTGGAAGCCCATACAAATAATCTTTAAGTGGCATCAGCATAATCTGTATCTTTGCCTTGTCTAATCTTTGCTTACTCCCCAGAACAGAAAATCAAATATAACTGAAAATTTTTATACCCCATCAGTTTTCTGCCTTATTATTCTGGTCCTTTGGCACACTATTGTCATGGGTGAGCTATATCTATAATATAGAAATAATAGGGAGGAAAGATCTCAACTGTAATTGTTAAAACATTATGAATAGTGATTTGGAGTTTTAGATTTCTCCGTGAAAAATGCTGACATTTCTTAGTGGAGTTTTATGTCCAGTTTCATCTGATTTTTTGTTCTCCTTGAACAAGGGCCAGTTTTAACTTCTTACATTGCTTATTGTACAATATGCCGTGAGATGTGGACACTAAGTTTAGCATGATATACTTTTCTATATATTCCTTATGTTGGTAGTAGTTTATTCAGTCTGTTGGTGTATGGTTTCTCCTTTAAAAAAACCTGTATGTTGTGTTTTTTTTGCCATTTCACTTGAGCATAGCTTTGTACTTGCTATACAGCTACACACTGAGTAGGTCTAGGAATGTAGATTAAATTAGGTGTATTTTTTTAGCTTAGTTTTTTTTTAGCTTAGTTCTGCAGGTTTAGAAAGTACACTACTTAGGAAAAGAAAAATGCAATGAAAAAATATTTTACTATCCATTAAACTGAATATATACTTTGAAAACTTTTAATCCATTTTGATGATTGTTTAAAGCTTTCTATTCTCCTCTGATGATTTTAGAATACATCAACAAAACTCTGTGTATTATTACACTATGTAAAGGTCACTTTTTACATTCTTAACCTTTTGACTGTGGTGCTTTGATATATTCAATGGTGACTTGAGTTTAATTATTCATGCTTTTGTTCTGGGCTGCGTCCCAAAATATCTCTTTGACCCTGAAAAAAGAGGATTCTTTAATTCCTTAACTTTGTAATGAACTGAGAACTGGCATAGGAAAAGGTTATAGCAGAATGGAATTTTGATGCCTTCTTAGGGGCAAAGAGAACCAACAAATAGCAAGTTTGGTGTCCTACAAGGAACTTGTCAGAACAAAGGCATTCCCTCCACGAAAATGTTTGAACCTGCATCTCTGGGCACAGTTCCAAAATGTATAATAGTCTGCGAGGGTGATTTAAATCAAGCACAGATCCATAGACTTCATTCTCAACATGAGTACATCTCTCACATTAGAGGAATATACTGTCTGAAACTGAATTACCTGAAGTTTACCCTAACTCGAGAATGAATAGTAATTTACAAGTTTCAGATTTCGTTTTCTGACTGTCCCATATTATACCAGGCTACCTAAGACCTTCCAGGAGCAATGCTGAACTATGAGGGAGATTTAAAGTTATGGAAACTCAATATCTTTATCAGATTCCAGGCTTTTAGTTTGAAGAATCCTCTTACACCCCTTCCTGGAAAAGCCCTGATTTCATGTAACCATATTTTTTTCAGTAAAAACAAAAAGTTAAATGTATAATCAGTTACGACTTTGTGTTTTAAATAATTTTACACAACTTCTTATAAAAATAAAATCATTATTGGGAGATCACTTGTGTTTATTTGTTTTAACTGTCTCCAGGTGTAGACTCTTATCTCCTCTTAGTATTGTCCAGAAAATCCCGAGTTATACTTCTCCGTTTCAGCTTACATCATTACTCATTCAGGTCAATATTAGACAGGCATATGGAAAGAGGATGTTGGAAATGAATTCTGATATCTCCTTGGGGTTCAAATGACAAATATGGTGTCAACCAAGCAAGCTGTCAGGAACAGAAGTGCAAAGTAGGCTTCAGCATATAGGCTATTGCTTGCCAACATTCAGCCCATGTTATTTTCTCTCCCACAACCCTAACTACAATATATCCCCCCCTCCATTTCCTGGGACTTTCCTTAATCCTTTTTTGGATGTTTAAAGACTGGTTTCTGGGGCTGGGGAGATGGCTCAGATGTTTAGACCACTGGCTTCTCTTTCAGAGTATCCAGGTTTAATTATCAGTACCCACACAGCAGCTCAGAAGGGTCTGTAATCCCAGTCCCAGTGGATTAACTCCCTTTTCTGGCCTCCACAGGCACCAGCCATGCACAAGGTGCACAGAAATACAAGCAGGCAGAACACTTACACGAATGAAATAAAATAATAGTAACAACAACAACAACAACAAAACTGGTTTCTACTTCTGTAGGAGGTCAGTATTGAATTCCAAAGCATATTTTCCTAGTTTTTCTGCAAGTAAGAAATGTAAACTGAACAGACAATACAAAAATATATGAATTCTGACTGAAGGTATGTTTCTGCATGCAAATATGCACTTTTCTCTTTGCAAGTGTAAATTTCAGGTCACCTTTTTAGACCACATGAAGAACTTATTCTTCCCATTTTGCTGTTTAGCAAGATTTTATCTATGAGCTGAACATTGTGTGGCAGGTATTATTTTGTATGCATTATCCTATTTTGTTCTTATGACTCAGGTATTCTCATGTTGCAAATAAACTGTGGTACAGACCATTATCCCTAAATGATATATAAAGTAGAACAAATGAGTAACCCCAGAGAAGCATTTATATCACTCTTACTTGGGGATATTTTATTATGTAGTCCCCCAATCCAAATTCCTGTTGAATCACTAACGTTCAATATAACTGTATTTAGGTATCTGGAAGTAACTAAGGATGAAATAAATCATAATTTGGGGTCCCAAAAATCTAAGTTTGATAGCGCTATAAGAAAAAAATTGCCTTCTACCTATCACTACCATTTTTCTCCACTTACACATGTAAGTAAGAGTGAGAAGGCCACCACCTGTTCTTCAAGCTGGAAAGAGAATCTTCACCAGAACTTCATCATGCTGGCACTCAGATCCTGGAATTCCAGCCTTCAAAACTAAACTATAAGAAAACAATCTTCTGCTATTTAAATTGTTTTATCTATTTTATTTAATTAAATATAAACAATAATATATAAATATATATTTATAAATACAAATAATAAATGATAATATTTATTATTAAGGCATCTAATACATATTTTGGTACTGAGAATGGTACTGGAGGAAGAATATTTCAACGATGAACTTTCTGATTGATTCAGTGTTTCCTTAATCTGACCTTTTGACCTGATTACATTTAAAGATACTAATGACAATTTCTAAAAGTAAAGAGAGGTCTAATAGTCCATGATAATCTTTGGATAATCCTCATCAAACTGTTGGTGGAGGCTGCTGCTTCGTTCCTGACCACTTAATCACACAGAAACTACATTATTTGCAATATTTTTTTGGCTAATAGAGTAAGTGTATTTTTAGCTAGCTCTTAAATCCTAAAGTAATCCATCTTTATTAATCTGTGTATCACCACGAGTTCGTGGCCTACCGGTAAAGTTTTAGTGGGCTCTCATAGAGGCGTCTATCTCCTGTGGCAACTACTTGGCTTGATTCTGCCTACTCTCTTTTCCTCTATCTGCTTGGAACTCCTGCCTTGCCCTATTTTTCTGAACCACTGGATGAAACAGCTTTATTTATTAACCAATAAAGCAACACATAGACAAAAGGACTTTGCTCACTATTTTTCCTTTTCTATTCAAATAAAAAGGAAGGTTTTAACTTTAACAAAATAAAATTACATATAAAAACAAGTATCAAGTAAGAATTATAGTTATAATATTTATATCTACTTTATCTTTTATCATAACTAATGAAAATTATGACTGTAACTATCTACTCTTTAACTCCATTAAAGACCCCACAAGGATATAATATTACCTACGTTAACAGGAAATGCATTGTAAGCAATTTTCAAAACTCTAGAAATTACAGAGAAATCTTGCTGCCTGGACAGGCATTCAAAGTTCTTCTGTAACATTAGGGTACCCATCTTTAGGCTATAGGCCTATAATATCTGACAGACTTTTTCATGAAGCATGAAATTTTAAAGACAGTTTCACCTATATTAGTAGTTTGTCAGTCACTTTTATTATGTCTTGCAGAATGTCTTGCAGACTCTTTCATAAAGCAGGAACTCTTTAGGACTATCTCACCTTCTATAGGCAACTTCAGCAGTCATTTTTCTGTGGGCCTTACATGTATAGTTCATACACCATAATTTTAAGCAGTACAGTTCATGCAACATAATATTACCCAAGAGCATATTTTTGCTCAGATGGTTAGCAAACTCCACAATGAGCCTCTTTGATGCCCATCTTTCTTTTGAAGTAATTTGGTACTGCCAGGAGCAGACATGTCTCATTGTCATGAAATGTTCTTAGTTCTTAAAACATTTTAAATGCCATATTCTGACAGTCTGTGAAAAATTTTAAGAATACCTGTCTAACTGAAATATATCTCTATATATCTAGAACACCTAACTGACATGACTGCAAAGCATGACTACTATAGGTGACAATTAGCCTATATTTATTAAGCATACATTACATTTTTTAAATGACCTATATGTAACCAGACATAAGTCTTACCAGTCCCCTTAAGGGTAGGTACACATTGTAATTCCTGAGAAGATGCACTGCCCCTCAAGACAACTACATAACTTGAGTTTTGTAATTTCTACAAGCAGAAATCTAGAAACAGAAGGGAATGGAGACTAAAGGTGTAGGATAATGGTAGAAGGAATACATAATTGAATTAGGCTAGGCTTAGTGATGCGACTCACTACCCAGAAACTCTTTATTAATTGTTGTAGCTCAGAGAGTTTATTATCATTTGAATGACTTTAATTTTTGTTTTTCAGATTTGATAGGATCTATCTTGGACCAAAATTTTATAGTTTTTTTATGTTGGTGGGCTGAAAGGTGTCCTGCAATGCGTAAGATGGAAAAGCAGGTCAGGGACTGGGGAGAGGAGGGAGTAAAATGTAAGGTGTAACCAAAACTATAGATGTGATGAAGTCATGCAGAAACTCACTACTTTATAAAGCAATTGAAAATGACTAAAAAACAGAGGTGTCCCACATAGATGAATGACTTTGTTGCAATGAATCTCAGAAGTCTTAAATTATTATTTGAAAATCCCAGTATTATGTGTGTGAAATCTCCCTAGTAACTTAATAATCAGAGGCTTCCTCAATCAGTATAGGCCATTGTCTTTGCTCTTGCCTGTCCACCATAACTTGATTGTAATATCCTATTGCTAACGACTCCACACAGTTTGATCACAGGACATGGAGAAATCAAATGGGAACTGAGCTGGATGTTTCCTCCTTTGGTTAGCTTTCTTAGTGCTAAAGGTGCTATTCTGGCTGCTGTGGGAGAGAATAGACAAGTCATCAACAGTCTGACCCAGTCACGAATCCTCCAAACTATAATAATGACTTGTCAGATGAGAATGGCCCTCTATTGATATAGTGACATGACTATTATGAAGATAAGCAATAACTTTCTGATTAGATTTGAGGCCTGCTTTATATGAGGGAAGTCATGCCTGGTAATGTAAACATAAGCAAGAGTGTACAGTTATGGAGGCCATAAACTTGAGGGGTGCACTGCTTGCTATCATTTTGCTAAATGGATATGTAGTCAAACTGCCTCTACTCACGTCTATGTCCACCTATTGATACTGCTTTCAGCTTTTGTCCAGAAAGCTTCATGTTGCAGTGAGTGGTGTTTTATGTGGAGATTCGCTAATGATCAATGTCCTAAAAAATAATTGACTACTGAGTATTCACCTCTCAATAGGTCAAATCTATTACCTCTCCCAAGACTCAGGGAACAGTGAAAGAGGGACCAGAAAGAATGTAAGAGTTTTATGATGGGAAAAAACTATGAAATGTTGTGTTTGTAGAACCCTGTAATCACTATTCTGGGCAGTCTATACCTTGGAGTAGAGACTAAAGTCACTGAACCAGTTAATCTAAATTCAGTGGGAACAGTTGCATCCAAGAAAAACCCTGACCAAATGGCAGCACTCTAGTGCCAAAAGTAAGGTGAGCATGCATGATTACTTACAATGGAGAGCAGGGTCAAAGCAACAGTCAAAGTAACTGGACTCAGGCAATTTATAGCAATGATTATGTTGATTTTACCAAATTCTTGCTTTACTGGAAGCACTAAAACACTCTTAATCCCAATCAACCTAGAATGGAAACATTTTAGTTCTAGTACTTGAATGAATGAAAAGATATGTCTCTTCCAGGAAGGATCTCAGTAGATTGACAAAGCTACGTGCTGTTAGTCTTTCCTCCAGTCTTCTCTAAATCAACCGATGGCTTTTTACCAGAGTAATTACATCGAGGAAAGGGAAATAACCAGATCATTTGGAAACTATTGGATGCTGGCTCTGAACTGAAACTAATTTCATAAGCCCTTAAGTCTCAGTGTAATCTACCATCCAAATTAAAGTTTATGGAGGTCAAGTTCTCACAGTGGACTCGTGAGTTCCTGAACTCATGCTGTGGTTATGGATACAGAACGCATCATTAGAGAAGATAGACTCAGCTTCTGGCAGGATCTTTGCTCTGGCTCTCTGATCTGTGGAATAAAGGCTGTTATGATGCAAAGACCATGGGAGCCCCTGCATTCCTATGGTGATTGCAGAGATT